GTGATAGACTCTTTTGTTGAGATCCAGTTCGACCCAGAGGAGGACAACATTCCTGATCATATGCTTATGTTAGGAAAGAAGTTCAAGATTTTAAATCACAAACTGAATTTATTATTACAGATTCAGGCTAATATTGGTGTTCGAAACATTGTTTATGGGATCGAGATTGATATCATGCTTCAATCCCAAGAGCATCGGTTGAAGATGGTAATGTCAAATATCGAAAGACAACAAGAAGATCGTTTGAAGCTCCATGCAAATAATTTTGAGTTTGAAGCCAAGAAGATTCGTGATGTAGCCAAAAAAAGGCATATTCTTTTTGTTGACGAAGTGAAGAAGGTTCAGGAGCCTGTCAATGTTAAAGTGGCAGAGCTCAAATCTGAAATGTCAAAGGAGGTTTTCAAACTTGATCAGAATTATTAAACTCTTCAAACCAAGGTTGATGTAATTGCTGATGTTGTTATGAATCTTGTGGAGTATTTCAATTCCCTTGTTACTAAGGTGGATTCCAAGACAAAGTCTAATTCGAAGGTGTTTGCCAAATTGGAAGAATTTTTGGTGAGCTTGAAGGAGTCCATTTTGAAGGTTGATACTTCTCCTAAATCCTATGTTTCTCAAGAGTCTCTATCACATATGTTTTCTTCCTTAGAAAATAATTTGAAAGTCGAACTTGCTCCTCTTTTAAAACTAGTTAATTTGATGCCAACGGATGCCCCACCTGTCAAACCAGTGGTGCAAGGGGGAGAAAAGGGGGTTGGCTCATCGAAGGATCCTGATCGAGGAAAGGTTTTTAGGAAGGTGATAAGCACGCCAATTCCAACATCACTTCCTACTTCTACATCAACAACCTCAACCACAATGACTTCGAAGCCATTAACCAAAGGCATAATCATTGGTTCTATTGTTAGGAGTTCGAGTTCAAAGCCACCATCATCAAAGAAAGAAATAGAAAATAAAGGGAAGGGTGTCTTGGTCAATCCTTCGGAAGAAGATAAGAAGAAAGCCTTGGAGAAAGAAATAGAAAAACAAAGACATATTAACAGCATCATGAGACAAAGGCAAGGTGATCCACCAGGTCTTGATAAAGGAGATCCAAACAAGCAATATTGGTATGAGACAATTGAATATATTCTTTCTTCAGGAGAGATGTATGACTTTGAAAAGGTTTCGAAGAAGAGCTTTGAGATCGAAAATACAGATTTCAATCAGCTGGATTTTCCCATCAATCAAATGATGTTTATTTCATCTCAATATCAATTGGTGGACAAGTTTCACGACAAGGAAGAGTACAAGAAGCTTAAGTTGAGATTTCATGCAGTCCTTGGAAAGAAGGAAGAGAAAGTATGGTCTTTAGTCAAAATTGTTAAAGTTTTGGGTGTATCCAAGGATCAGTTGTTCGAAGGGTTGTTATAGAACTTTTGTTATCATGTGGTTCGGGATAACAACGTTGCATGTGACTTCTTGGTGGCAAATTTTCCTCTGATAAATCTCAAGGATCTCATCTGTGTTGCGAAGATCTTGAGTAGTGTTGATGTGTCGAAACTTCTAGTTAATAGCAAAGAAGATTTCTTGATACGTTTTGCTCATATCAAGCTATTCATAGACAATTACTATGATTGTCTAGCTTTGACTGATGTTGAGCTTACTTTAGCAATTGGAAGACAAGTGATAGTACCTCAATCGTTGTTGAAAGGTCAAGTAAGTCTTAAGAATTTCGAAGATGGGGAGATATGTGTTAAGCCTCTGGGAGTTGTATTTGTTAAGAAGAACAAGAATCAAAAGATAACAAAGTTTTTGTTCAAAGTTGAAGATGTGGAGAGGTATACAAATTCGCAGTACACGAGTCTTCTTGTTCATCTTGATAACTGTAAAAGGAATATAGTTGGTGATAAGGCTGAGATTCGAAAGACGATCATATGGTACACGGAGATTCACAGAGTACTACATCAAGCAACGAAGATGCTAATGACATAAGATTCGACACTTCTCACAAAGGGGGATAATGTAGAGTTCGAAATGTGTTGTGAGATGTCGAAGTGTCTTTTTTCATGTTTAGTATCGAAGTCTGTTTGCATGTATTCATTGTATGTATTTCATAAGGGCATTTTTAGAGTTCGAAGCTCTAGTGTCTTAGACCTTATGTACTTTTTGTTTACTTCTGGTGTTCCTATAAATAAGGATAGATATAAGGGTTAGAGGAACTTCTGCTGTTCTGTGTACTTTACTCTTTCGTTCTCTTGTATCCTTTCAGAAGTATTAATGGAGCCAAACATATTATATTTACGATTTATGTTCCTGATTCAATTCATACTCTGATTTCATTTATACACACGATTCATACAAACTACAAATACCCAATCATGGCCCTTAGGACCTCCACTGTTGCGTTAGGCAGAAGAGAATTTTGATTTATCATGCGTTGAGGATGTGTAACAAAGGCAGCCGTGGAAGCGAGTGTTA